AATATATATATATATATATATATATATATATATATATGTTGGGGGTAGTAAGGGTGTCACAACAGAAGCGGAACATGGTTTCTCTGTTTTTGCTCTCTTTGGGGAAATATGAGGGTGAATTTAGGCCTTGGGCTTTGATTTTCATTTCAACATGGGCCTTTAAAATGGACCTGAAGCTAATTTGATGGGTTTTTTTGTTTATTTATACTCTCTTATTTATTATTAGTCAAAAAGTGTATTATGAGTTGTCAAAAAGTGGAGGTACTTATAAGTAATTCCTATTAGAGTAAAAGTTGTAAAAATATAAAATGAGTTGCTTATGAGTAATATGACACTGTAAGACTCATTTAAAGTAAATGAGAATTGTTTATTCTAGATGCTCTTAGGGCATGTTTAAAACTTATTTGCAACACTATAAACGTAAAAACAGACCTTCCAAAACATCAACTTTAGAAGCAACTTTTTCTATCTTTTTAGTTGAACCTAATTTTATAGGTTTCTAATCGAAACCAAATACATACTTAGAGCAAATCAGACACGCATGTATATTATTTCAAATTATATAAAAAGTTTTTTTTTAAAAAAATATTATTTGTATTAGATTAATTGTGTTTATAATTGTTTGATAAAAATATTCTTTATTGATACAAATAGTTTATATATAATTATATATATATATACACGTGTTAACTTTTAGATAGAAAAAATTTTAATTTTAAAAAATAATTAAAATAATTTTAAACGGGCTTTTGCTTCCTGCACGATCAATTTATTTCATACACTTGCCATTTAAAAAATAAAAAAATCAAAACTTCCTTTACTTCAATATTTCTCGATCTGAAACACCAATCTAGAATATTAAAAGAGAAAGGTTCAAACGATATCGGTATAATTTTTATTAAGTGTTACACCGCTCAATAATTTTATATTAAATATGAATTTTATAAATTCAACCGTTAAATTAAAAGTTCATATCAATTTATATGTGTATGTCAAATTTTATTAAAATTGAACAATAACTGGGAAGTAATTAAAGTGTTCGTATTTTAATAATTTTAAAATAAATATATTACGTCAATTTTGTTTTATAAGAATGAAGTATCAAATTATCTTGGATTACTAAAAAATTTTATATATATATGATCTAAGAATAAAGAACTTTCAATCTAACGGTTGAATTTATAAAATTCACATTTAATATAAAGTTATTAAGCGTTGTAACATTTAATAAAAATTATACTAATATTATTAACCCGTCCTCGTCTTCAAATGTTTCTGCCACACCCAATTTGAAATGTGAAATAGAATGAAAATGTGTGCCAGAACACATTCTCGATCATTAAAAATGTATTCTGAAATGAGCTTTCCAAAATGAAGAGTTTTTTTTTTTTTTTCTAGATTGACACCAACGCTCTTTTTATATTTTCTCTCTCTTCATTGTCCAAAACTTTAATTCTCTGCCGCATATAGACCATGCTCGCCACCAACCGTAGGCGGAGGGGAGGGAGGTCATCGATTTGGTACGATGCCTTTATGATATGATGTTTATTTCTCGTCAATTCAATTGTGGTTGTCGCCGATGTTATTTTAGTTTTGTTTTAATTTTTTTTATATATAATTGGATTTCATTTAAACAATCTTGGCATTCTTGTTCCAAACCAACTAAAGGAAGCTACACTAATCCAACTAAAATCCTACAGTTTCACTTCAATACTATAGTAACTTGGCTAATGATCTTGCAGTGTTTTATGGGGTATTTATGATGAATAGTCTCCTTCATTTTGAATGCTTCTTCTATCCAATAGATCTTCACCCCCTCTCCTTGTATTTTCTAGTGTTTCATATTTGTTTTTATGGTTTTGTTTTGATTATGAAAGCCCATTATGAATTAAGTGTTCTAAATCAAAACGAGTATTCTAACCACATTTAATATTATATTTTAGAATATGTGTTTTGAAACACAAATTATAAATTGGGTGTTATGGAACATATTTTTAACACTTGTAACTAATGTTTCAAATTGAGAAACGTCGAAGGATAGTGTAGGATTTTAAAAAATGATAGTATGAAATAAATTGATGGTATGGAAACAAATGCCTTCTAAATTGATAACAGATTTGATCAAATTCATCTCAAACCGACCCGTGACACTCATGTAGTAAAACTTACCTCACCTAAATCTACATGGTTGTAGTTTCACAAGTTAAAAACGGACCAAGTTTAAATATTTAATTTGTGAGGAAGAAAATCAAAGAAATTTAATGTGTTAAAAATATTATACACTTTGAAGTTTGAACTTAATTTAATCTCATGTCATGATTAAAGACAAAAATGAGGCAGGTAGGACACATAATAAAAGACGTAAGTGTAGAAACTAGAAATACGATATATTATTATACACTTTCCTTATTAGACACGGATGGTGTTGGGTCACTTGACTTGTAATTCTATAATTCATTCTCTTTCTTAATCTCCAACGCCAAATTCTTCAAAATCCGAACCCCACCCAGGTGAGGTCAGATCCGTCTTCTTCCTTTCGTTACTGTTTAGAAGTTTTATGATTATATGATCTGATCCGAATAGAATGAAACGAAACGGTTTTGAGCGTTGCAGGGAAAGGGAATTAATTTTCCTGTTCTGTTGAGCAGTGGGTGGGACTGATGTGCAATGCAGAGATCACGTGAAGCTCTTCTGGAAAGAAGAGCTTTGGACGACGAACCTGCTAAATCTGTCTCTGCCTCTTCCTACGGAGTTTCTCTCTCGTTGGTTTTTGTTTTGTGGGGTCTAATCTTCCTCTTCAGTTTATGGATCAGTCACGGTCATGGTTTCACTCCCACTCCCACAGGTAAAGATACTCTCTTATGTTCTGTTCAACTTATGACTCTGTTAGGAATTGATCCACATAGATCAATTCACCAAATCCTTTTCTTTTAGGATTTTCTAACCCCCTTAACTCGGTCCCTTTTCTTTTAAACAACTGAGTACCAAAAATAAATCGCTCTTAACCACCCAAAAATATGTGAAAGAGAGGGTATGAGAATCTTATTTAATGTTAATGTTCAGCCCAGAAAAATACTAAAGCTGAAGAGGAAACAAAGCATTCAGGGAACTGTCCTCTTATCCATTTTTATAAACATTAGATGATACTGTCATCATTGGCTAACTGCAAATGAGAGACAAGTATTCCTTCGAAGCCCACTTTGACCCCTTTAATGTATCCACATGCAAATGGTCTAGAAATTAAACAGTCAAGTACCACTAAAGTGAAATAGTGAATGAGATAGGAGATAAATAATCTCCTTGCCTCGCACCACCTTGCCTACAAAACTAGTCTTTTTGCTCACCATAGTTTTCTTCATCCTCGCTAATGCATGATGCATATTCTTATTAGTCAGTTTATTATGAATGCAGATAGATCTGAAGAACATTCAGCTCGATTATCAAATTGGAAGGAAGATAAGCACGGGCAGTGTAAAAGCTCTGATTCTGCTGATAAATGTTTGGTCGATGCATACATTCCTCCTGAGGCTTTACACTCTGAAGATGATCAGACTAATGGTTTTGTTGCTGAGTCACTCCCCCATGGAGAAACCAGTGATTATGCTGTACCTGGTACTTGTAATAAGGAAGATTATGATACACCCACTAGAGAGGAACATGAAGTTGATAGTTGTGAATCTGCTGTCAGACTCGAGGATGATGTACAAAAATCTGATCAGTTACCTTGGGCTGTGCCCCTTGGTCTTGATGAGTTCAAGAGCAGGGCAATTAGTTCCAAAATTAAGCCTGGCACTGGTTCATCTGGAAGTGTAATGCATAGAGTGGAGCCTGGTGGTGCAGAATACAATTATGCTTCAGCATCAAAGGGAGCAAAAGTTTTAGGTTCTAACAAAGAAGCCAAAGGTGCCTCTAATATCTTAAGCAGAGACAAAGATAAGTATCTTCGAAATCCATGTTCTGCTGAAGAGAAATTTGTCATTATAGAACTTTCCGAAGAAACCTTAGTAGATACAATAGAAATAGCTAATTTTGAGCACCATTCATCCAATTTAAAAGCTTTTGAACTTCTTGGCAGTCTGAGCTTTCCAACTGATGTTTGGGTTTTTCTTGGGAATTTTACTGCCTCAAATGTGAGGCATGCTCAAAGGTTTGTTCTTCAAGAGCCAAAATGGGTGAGATACCTAAAGTTGAATCTACAAAGTCACTATGGTTCTGAATTTTATTGCACACTAAGTGTATTTGAAGTTTATGGTGTGGATGCTGTTGAGAGGATGCTGGAGGATTTGATATATACTCAAGATAATCTATTTGCACCGGAGGATGGCAATGCTGATAAAAAGCCAGCATCACCCCTTCCTAATCCTGCTGAGAGTGAAGATGATCATCAAAATACTTTTGGAGGGATCAATTCTGATCCTGCTTCAGATATCTCTTCTGCAAATCATGAGAAAGTAAATAGTAACGTTCCTGATCCAGTTGAAGAAATCCGTCAACAAGTTGGCAGGATGCCTGGGGACACTGTTCTCAAGATTCTGATGCAGAAAGTTCGTTCTCTAGACTTAAATTTGTTTGTTTTGGAGAGGTATATGGAGGACTTAAATTCTAGATATGTCAATATTTTCAAAGAGTACAGCAAAGACATAGGAGGAAAAGATATACTTATACAGAATATCAAGGAAGACATTAGGAATCTCGTTGAACAGCAGGATATTATAGTATGTTGAATTCTATCTGGATATTGTTGGCATTAGTTGTATTTAATTTTTTAAAAATCATTATTATTATACATTTTATTGATTTTCCAAATGACTATTGCCCTTGCAGATCAAAGATGCTAGTGATCTCCAATCTTGGAAGTCCCATATTTCCATGCAGTTGGATCTTCTACTCAGGGACAATGCTATTTTGAGGTGAGAGTTTACAATACAAAAGCCTTTTGTAATTTGTCACAATATGAACTTAAGAGCTAGTTCAGCTTTAGTAACTAGTTTATTTTGAGAGTATCTTCAAAACAGTAGAGTAGTTTCTGTGCATCTCCCTGTCTTGGTCATCTTGTATCAGGGTTCTAAGGATCAGATTGGACTGGTCAGTCTGATCAAACAAGTCAGCAAGCACAACTTCTTAGAATCAGAATGAACCAGCCAGGTCTGGTATAAACAAGTGAATTTTTAGTGATCACATGGCAGGTTCACTCACATACTGTCTCTATCACTAATAATTCAACTTTACAATAAAGTGTCAAAGGCAGTGTTCAAACCTAGCATCTGTTATGCCCCCGAACGAGCTTCTCTGTTGTTTAATAACCTTAAATAGTTATTCTATTGACAAACTGACAAGTACTTGCATATCTATGACTATGTCAATTAAGGTAAAAAATACTTTCAGTAAAATTACAGTTTTGTGATGATGATGATGATGATGATGATGATGATGATGATGATGATGATGATGATGATGATGATAATGATGATAATAATAATAATAATAAGTTCTATATCTTTATATCAACATTCTTCGTTGTAGAATAAAATTTTAGAATTTTTTGGATTGCTAATTTTAAATGTTTTAATTTTGTCTTGGTTTTGTGACGTGAGGTAAATATTTTTAGATGTTGAAGTTATCTATTATATATATGGATCATATACTTCTTGTCTAAATTTCATATATTTTTGGTTTATATAATTATCTATATTATATTGAAAATCTAATATTTTTTTCATGTAGTTAATAGAAAATTATATAAATATGGTTCCAGTTCAACCACAATTTGACATTCGATCAAGCTCTTGTTTCCAGATCAGTGACTAATCTGGTTTATAGAAATGGGTTGTTTAGGGATTCTTAGAATAGTGGATTAAGCCTAACTTTACCCTACAAAACCGGCTAGTCGATGTGGGACTTGGGTTTTTTTCAAGTCCAGCACTATTGGGCTTGGTACGTGGATAAATGGTGGGTGGTCCTTTTTAATGATTTAGGATTGGAGGGACTTGAGTTTTTCCCAATACACCCCCTCATGCCTATGGCGCATGCATCAATGGTGGGTGGCCCATTTAAAGTGGATCTAAATAGCTCTGATACCATCTTAGAATAGTGGATTAAGCCTAACTCTACCCTACAAAACCGGCTTGTAAGGTGAGGGTTGCTTTCCACTTATATACTATTCAATTACCTAATCTCTAATCGATGTGAGACTTGGGTTTTTTCCAATAGGGATGAGTGTTATTGTATCCTAATGCATGCTGCATGCCATGGTAATGCCTTACTGTGATACTAACTCACAAAAGATTACTCACAAGTGCTTTTATGTTTTACCCCTCCATCCGACTATCTTCTCTCATTTTAATTGGATGAATTGGGTGAATAATTAGTTTTAGCAAATAAGATGAAAGCAATAAGATTGATTCTTAGTGAGGGCTGCTGCTAGTTGTTAGTGTTCATTTGGGGGAAATGAAATCTCCATATCTCCTCATATTACATGCAATTTCACTTATAGTTGAGTTGGCTCTCGTGCATGCCATAGGACAAAAATACCATGAAGAAAGTTGATATTGTCTATTGTTTCGGAACCTTTTTGTGATTGCCATTTGATTGTCAAAGCTTGAAGATTATTTTGTGGTTGCTGTTTGATTATCAAAGCTTGAAGCCTCAACAGATGATGCTATTAATTGTTTAGCTTTTTGGGATCTGATTTATTTTTCCCAATAATTCAGGTCCGAGGTTGACGAAGTCCGGAGGAAGCAGGCATCTTTAGAAAACAAGGGTGTGGTAGTGTTTTTAGTGTGTTGTATTTTTTCATTGCTAGTTATATTACGGCTTTCTCTAGGTTTGGCTACGAGTGCCTATAGAGTACTAAATGTTGATAGAAAAGATTACTCCAGGAAATTTTGTGCGGCTAGCTCTTCCTGGTTCCTCCTATTATTGAATTGTATCATTATTATTTTCATATTAACTTTGTGATAATCTATTTTTGAAATATGATGTCAACTTGTGCGAGATGCTTGGTGAATGTGTTGCTTTCGAAATACATGTAGAAACTTCAAAGTTAAATCAAGACTTGATTTTTCATTTTCACTTGCAATGACTTTGGTAGCCGTTAATTATAACTTTTACATATTCGTGCTATAAAAAGGCTTCCGTCTGTTACAATAAAAAAGTCCCGTTTTATTATGAAAATAATCACGAATTTTGTAGATAACGAAAAATAGAGGAAGTAAAAGTAATGCAGTTGATCAGTACTGTATTACATATGGCACCTAAAGAAGTATTTATAGTCCGATCCAAGAGTAATATATTGAAAGATAAATCAAAATCCTATCCATGAACAACTCCTTGCATGATTAGGTTTTAGTTAAAATTAAATAATAGCCTCCTGTAATAATTTTTATTCACATTTAGTAATATTCATAACACACTGAACATTGAGATATGTCTTACTGAAATTTTATTAAGTAAAGCTAGTGCATAAAAAAAAATCTAGAGAAAAATACAATATTTTCTGGATATAATCTACGACATTCAAAACTATATCAAGTAATTTACTGAAAGATATGATGGCCAAAAAAAGCTTGATCAATGAAATATCTAAATGTGTAAAATAATCTTCCCCGCCTTCTTCTTTGAGAGCCTTACATTTAGTTCCTAAATAGATAAATCGATTTGTAAGAATTATAAGACGGCATTAGGATTTGAATCGCTTTCATCATTGTAACTTTTATAAATTTAATAAATAAATAAATAACAAATCGCTTCTTTTTATATTGAGGAAAAATGTATTGAATTAAAAAAAATGTTTTAAAATGTTATTAATAACTAGATACATTGCTTATAAAGAACAGTTTTCTTATACAGTGACAACATAATTTTAAATGTAGGAGATCATGTAATTTATCTAAATATTCCATCACTAAGTTAACAGCCCACCTAATAGGTTTAAAAACCTGTTTTAGTACGTTTTGCAAAAGTGAAAAAAAAATAGCAATTTTTAAATAAATTTTAAAATGTGTTTAGTAAAACTAGTTTATAAGTTGAAGATTATAAATTAAAAACTGAAAAAGTAAAACTTATAAGCTAATTAATTAAATTGAAAATGTTTATAAAGTATTTGAAGTAACTTATGAAAATAAGTTTAAAACTAAAAAAAAAAAAAATGTGAACAAAACAAGTTTATTTTAGTTAAACTAGTTAATAAATAAGTCTAACTAGCTTATAAGCTCTACAGGCACTTTCTAAATTAAAAAAGAAAAGGCTATATCTTGATTATTATTTTTTTCCAAAGTCAACAAACATGATTTTCACAGGTAAAATTGATATATTAATTTTTAAGTCGAAGTGATTAGGAAAAGTCTTTCCTAGAGTGAAAGCTTCAAGGTTCAAAAATCAAACCCCTAATACTGCTACTACAGGTAAAGTTTCCTGGGATTCACAACTCACTTCCATTCTTACCAACCTTTGTTGGTTTGAGTCAGATTCATTGAAGGCGATACATTTGGTAACTAAAGGTTATTCACCTATGCATAGCCTAGTGAATTCCATCCATGATATGCTGAAGAGAAGCTAGAGCTTATTTCTCCCTAGATCTCTAAGAGGGTAACAGTAAGGGATCAGCTAGTAGTGAATTTCATCTGTTGTGGTGTGCTGATTATATTGCAGGGGCAATTTTCTAGCAAAATGTTTTAATTTAATGGATTTTTTTGTCCTACGAACCTAAAAGTATAGTTAAGCATACCCACGCACCTCAATTGACATTATTTTTCTCCTCTTAAAAGCGTCACAATTCTAAAGTGGATCATTCTAGTTTTTTCATAGGCTATTCAACCATAAATACAGCTATTGAACAAAAAAAATTCCTTTCTTTTGAAGATCACTTGAGAGGTCATCTTCAATTGAACCATTAAGTAATATTATCTTCGTATAAATATAATTATTAAAGTTCATTCCTCATGGGACAACCCATAAGAATGTATAGCACACTAAATCATTGTGTAGAACGAAAATTATTTATGATTTCCTTGTGAATAAATTGCTTCAACCTTGACAATCCATAATTGAGAATATAAAAAACCTTTACTGTATTTATTCTAATTAGATTCCTAAAAATCAGTATAGGAACCAAGAGAAGCAAACATTCATTTTTTATGATGTGCCAGGCTCATAGGGTTAAGGACAAATTTATTAAACTGAGTAGTTGTTAATTAACTAATATGTACATGTCTAAATCAGAAAATTATAGTATATCCTACAATTTTATGTGAATATAGATGATTCTCGTTTGTTATTCACGGAAGAATCCAAGTTCTCTTAACAAAAAAGCGTCCTTCAACTGGAGCATTAAATATGACAAACACGGATCTCAAACCAAATCAAAATTATGTCTGATCACGAGTTGGGTTCGGTCAGATTTGGGTTGAAAATGTTCAGCCCAACCCAAACCAACCAAGAAAAAAATGGACACATTTTCGACCGTATCAGTACTTCAGATAATTCGGGTCGAGTTAGTCGAATTTCGAGTTATATGAGTGGGTTTAATCAAGTTGGATCACATTGGAAGGGAGCCGATTTCTAACAGTTGCACTTCCTTTATTCATATGATTCCTTTCCTTCTCTTTTTCTTTCTTTTTTTTCTTTCTCTTCCTATCACACCATTGCATCTCGACAACGAAGATGATAATGACGTCGACGTCATTCCGATAGCATTTCACAACTCACCCCCCCCCCCCC